CATCCAACAAAGAAATTTTCAAATTTCATGGTTAAGTGTTGTTTGGTTCGTAAGTTTAAATTAAAAAATTTAAATTAAAATTAAAATTTTTATGAGATAAAATATTATAGTAAAATAGTTTAAACTGTGGTTCAAACTCACAACTGAATGGTTAAGTGTTGTTTGGTTCGTAAGTTTAAATTAAAAAATTTGAATTAAAATTTAAATTTTTATGAAATAAAATATTATAGTAAAATAGTTTAAACTGTGGTTCAAACTCACAACTGTTTCTTTTTATTGTTAAAAGATTAAAAATTTTGAGAGAATGAGTGCTTGATCGATCTCTCTCATTTCCTCAGCCAAAGCTTTCCCTGGTGATGATGAGAGAATTGAGTGAACTAATAGTATATTAGTATACTTGTATTCTATGATTTGACAGAATGTTTGGATTTTATTATTTTTCAAGCTTATTATTAGAGTATTCTCTTGTTTAATCCGTCAAATTAAGTTTGTTATGCGTTTTATGTTAAATTGTAACCTAGTTATGTCTAGACGATTTATTACCTGGAATACGCTGCCTTTTTAAAGTTTGAGCACAAAGAGTTGTGAGATGTATGATTTTCTATTGTAAATATTTCTTTATCATGGTAAAAACCGCATTTACTGAAAGATGACGTAATCTCACGTTACGACGAACATTTATAAATTTATGCATTCATTTTTATTTTATTGTTTTTAGGTGTTTTTATTGCTCTTGATAATTTAGAATTAGAACGTCTAATTCTTAACATTTTATTATTCAACTCATAAGTGAAGGAAGAGTGCCTAAATGGGGGACATTGCGGTCATTTCCTGTGCTTCCAATAAAAATTGCAAAAGAACTCCCCAGACATCTATTGAAGATAAAACTGGAAACACTTAACAAAATAGTCAAATTTCACCAATTCTTTTATGCTCCTCCTTCACCATCTACGGACGAAAGGACCATAAACCCATTAACTATAATCGTAAATTTCATCTTTTTCTCACTCTCTTTCTCGGGGTCTAACAAAAACTCAATTCTTATAATCATCAAATGGTTGAAAATGTTGTTTTCGTAGTCATCAAGGACTCGTTTCACAAATGCATTTAAACTCGTAATTCTAATTCTGTTACAGTATTTTTCTCTCATAAAAATTTTAAATTTTTAAAAAAATTCCCTCTAATGATTCTCTTACAAAGTTCTCACCAGTCAATCAGAATCACTGACTTAAATGTGTAAATCAAATGGGCCGTAATAATTTTGGGGTTGTGAATTGGATGGAGGCAGTGAATAAAGAAAGAAAAAACTAAGAATATGTGAAATTACTTTAAGAGCGCATTTACTTCGCGTTAAAGGGAAAGAAAAAATAATGAATGATAATTAGTGAATAAGAAAAGAAAATACTAATTCTTGGATCCTTTTTATTATTGATTTTTTGTTAAAGGGAATGAATACCAAATTTACTTACATACTCTTATTTAGTTACTTTATAATCAATGATTATTTAATTATGTAAGGACCTTCAAGTGATACTATTAATAATATTGTTATTTCGTAAATATTATAAAGTATTTAGTTACTTTATAATCAATGATTATTTAATTATGTAAGGACCTTCAAGTGATAATATTAATAATATTGTTATTTCGTATATATTATAAAGAGAACGAAGTTGTTCCTCATTATATTATCTAATAATAAATAAATAAAACACTTGAAAAAAATAAATATTCTTATTTTTATTCATTTATTTTTATTTTCAATCTCATTATATTCTTTTACAATTTAATAAAAACGTTCTAAATAGTTTTATTAAAGTGTCACATGACTTCTTGTATGCCACATCTATTTCTTAATAGATTCTTAATATAAGAACGTTAACAAGACAATTTTATAGATCGCGAACTAAGTATAAGATGTTTCTAATGTTACCAACTATAATAAGATTCACCCTTACATCGGGGATTAAAAAATAAATTAACCCTTATTTGAAAGAAGGCAAATTGATTTTGATAAAACACACGGGCGTGCACACAAAGTACACAAGGCGTTTAGTTTATAGATTATAATCATGTGATTAGAATAATTTTTAATTTATGTGTATTTTTTATGAAAGAAATACTATAATGAATTATGAATTATGATTCAAATCATGGTTTAAATCATCCAACTAAACATCCCTAATTCTCTTAGGAAAAGTGAGGGAAAAAAAAAAAAAAAAGATAATCGTGATGGGATGAAGTTGTAGGCTGGTTGGGTATAAGGGAATACTTGTAACCAAATAGACCGCAATTGGCACATTATCCCATGGCTCTGCAAGTGCTTATAATAAATATATTGAAACCTTTTGATGGCGATAGACCCACCAAAGAGGCAACAGTATTGCGCAGCACGCCAACACGGAATCTGCTCACTCCAATTCCAAGTAAACTTTAAAATAGGCCGTTGTTTCCAATCTGTTGAACAAAGGACAAAACGAACAAAAGCCCCTTGGAACCACCGTCCACTTTGTCTGGCCTTTTCCGCTCCTTTTATCATCAAATTCTAGAGTGTCCTAAAAATAAACTCAAAGTGAAAGTGAAAAATCCCACCCATCATCACTCTGTCTAATCTTGTTTGTGAATCCTCGTTACTTCCTGAAGGAAAGAGCAATTCTAGGACGCACAAGTGTAGAATTTAGCACCACGAGTTAGTAAACAGTATGATTTATAATTAAAGCTCACATATAGTAATAATATTAAGACCGTTTAATTTACTGATTCAAATTTTTAATTTGAATTGAAATATAATTTTTTGTGATAGTTTTTTACTGTAGTAAAAAGTTAGATGTGATTGTTTTTAAGAGTTGGTCCGTTCGGTTCACTAATTCGAGTTGAGATGGATGTTATGTGAGAATTTTTTACTGTAGTAAAAAAATTAGATGTGACTGTTTATGAGAGTTTTTTACTATAGCAAAACTCAAATTCTAAACTCAAATCAGCGAAAAAAACGGAGCCAAATTACTGTAATAAAACTTAATTTTTAAACTCAAATCGGTGAAATGAACGAGACTTTAAAATTGACGTTTAACACCGTACATTTATTAATAGATATAAGACCTACAAAAAAGGCACGCGTCCCAAAATATTTTTTTTCAAATAGAACTTAAACCCTGTTATGTTAATTTTACGGATTTAAATTTAAAATTTGAGTTTTATTAATCGTAATACTATTGATATTTGCTTCCAAACATTTTTGTTAAGAGCGTTATTGATTATTTTCATGGGGTTGTCATCCCGTTATTCACGTAAAAACGATTTCTCTTAAGTAAGTAGATAGACCCAATTTAATACGACTTATCTATTTATGAATTTTTTATTTTTAATCATCAAAATTTTCTTCTATTTTATATATTTTTTAATATAATATGATTTTAATTTTATTTAATAATCTTAAACAGATACTATTAACAGAATTGTCTTAAAAACTCTGCTTTTCTTTTACTAGAAAAACCCCAAACAGTTCAAAGAATTTTTATTAAGTAGATGTTTAGTTTATAAATTCAGAATTATAATTTAAAATTATTTTTAATTTATATATATTTTTATTAAAAAATACTATAATAAATAATAAATTATTATTTAAATTATAACACAAATTCTTATACCAAACACTTTCTTAAGGACCCATGACCATTGGTGCCTTGATTGACAATGTCCTGTCCATTCTAAAGACTTCCACATCAATGGTATGTTTTTTCCTTCCCTACATTATAAAATTAATAAAATAAAGGTCAAAAACAAGTGGCAGAAACTGGATAAATTAAAAGATCTCGAGGAGATAAGAACTGGGGTTTTTGTCAGTTTCACATCCACGTCACTAATCCAATCTCCCTTTAGATAAAACGAGATATTCTTCTTTAAGGCAAAGATCTGATGCAGCTTTAAACAGACAAAACTTTACTTAAAACCAACTTTACTTCAAACCTCATTTTTAAATTTTCACATTTTAATCCAATCTTTGTTATTATTCAATGTTATCAGTAACCATATTTAATTATACATCTTTTGTCAAGATAATCATAAACCTAAAATTTTAAGGTACGTTTAGTTGGAAGGAGAGAGAGGTGGATGTAGGGAGAATGGTAGAGGAAGAGAGTAATTTCTTGTTTGGTTGGAAGAAAAAAATAAATAAATAAAAGCTCGTTCATTAATTTAAATTTAGATATAATTTTATATGAAAAATTTTAACTGTAATAAAAAAAATTAAATATAATTATTTTAAAAATTATTTAATTATAACAAAATTAAAATTAAAAATTTAAATTAATAAAATAAACAGAATTAAAAAAACTCTTTCCAAACGAATACAACCAATCCACTCAAAATTAAATTAAAACAAATTTTTTTATCCTTCAAAAAAATTACAAACAAAAAATATAATAATTAAATAAATAATTATTATCTATTCTTTTTAACCCTATTCCTTCCTTATAACAACCAATTCACTGAAAAATTAAATTAAAATGAATTTTTTTATCCTTCAAAAAAATTATAAACAAATAATATAATAATTAAATAAATAATTATCATCTATTCTTTTTAACTCTATTCCTTCCTTATAATTCTCTTCCTTTTACCAAACGCAACCTTAACAGCCACTTAAATTTTTTTTAAAAATGGATATAATAAGTTTGGAACTCAAAGCTTCCAGACAGTTACTTTAAGAAAATCCCAGATGGTCCCATCAATGAAATCCATAACCAAATATACCCAGGCAGAGATTGCATTAGAGTGGATAAGATCAGGGTAGAGAAAACAGAATCTCGTATATTTAGCAAAAGAAAAAAAAAAGCAGAATATCTCGTCTTTAAATCTAACAACCTAGACTCAAGCTTGAAGACAAAAACAAACTTTTCATCTCATGTTTTTGATGCCCAGATCAAACATATGCAGAAACATCAAAACAAGTTTGAGCAGAACATCAAGAAATTTTAATAGCAGAAAATCTAAATGGAAGATTTTAATGGAAGGTAATTTACATTAATTAATACGAACTTACAAACAGAATTATCCGAAAGAGTATTGATCAAATCAAAAGGGGAAATATAATTCAGACAAATTCCGATAAAAGAAACTGCTACCCAATCCTCGGCAGCCCTGAGAAAATGCTTCTTATCTGTACAGAAGTTGCAATTCTTTTTTTTTTTTTTCAATTTTTTTCTTTTTCCTTTTCTCCAGATGCAGAAAAATAAGTAAGCTCCCATCGTGTATTTACAGAGAAAATTCCAAAACTAATTGGGATTTGCGTATTCACAGAAAGTCAGAAGATCAAAGGCCACCGATTCTTAACAAAACCCAACAGCCAAAAACCAAAAAAAAAATTCGAGAAGCCAAAACGACATCGCTCCACAGGTTTGGCTTCACTTGACGAGCTCCGAAATCCAGCCCACGTCAGGCGCACCTGACCCCGGCGAGTCAACTCGGCCGAGCGAGTTCTCCTTACTGAGCTTCGCGTACATTATAGCCCTCAGATTTCTCCCAGACTCCACTCTCTCCATCGTCGGCTCCTCATCGCAGGACTGGTCCCACAGGTTCGGGACCTGACCCTGAGTCGGAGTAGAAGGAACGCTGCAAAATCCGGGTCGGAGCATCGACCCGCCACGTGGCGAACCGAACCCCCACGAAGGAGGAGAATTCATCTTCGACTTCCCAATCCGAAGGTTCCTCATCGCAGCCACAAGCTCCGAGTTCTGAGGGCTGTTGGGCGGCGACTCCGATGGCGGAGAAATTGGAGGCGAAGTGAGGATCGAAGTCGGCGACGAGCCGAAAGAACCATTGGAGAGACGAACCGGCGAGTCGGTGGGGCTCAGGACCCGGAGTTGTTCCGGCGTGTGAGCGAAGAAGCAGACTCGGCGGCGGCAGCTGAGGCCGTCCTTGCAAGGCTGGGTCCGGTAACGACCAGGGTGGAGCCAGCACTCAAAGACGCCGTGGGCGAACTCACAGGAATCTCCTTTCTTGCAGTTTCCTTTTCGGAACTCGGCGCAGGCGGTGCCGGAGTAGTGGTGCTTCCTGGGATCTCTTCGGCGGGCCTTCTCCCCTGGGTGGGCGAAGGGGCACTCCGTCCAGTCATGAGATCTCCCGCGCGCGCAACGCCGGACCTTGAACTCGAACATGCGGAAATGATCGCAGGAGAAGGCGTCGACAGCGTGCGCCGCCGAGTCAGACTCATCGCTCAACGAGTCAGACTCTCCGGGGAAAAACTCGTTCGACGGGAGATAACGGTGGAGCGAGGCGAAGGCCTCGAGGTAATGAGAGCAGTCTCCGCCGGCACCAACATTGTTGAAGGAAGGACTGGAGACGGAGAATGGGGAGTTGATCCCGGCCGTGGGATCATCGAATGAGTCCCACTGAGGAATTTGGACGGTCGGATTTGAGCGGGTTGGTGGTGGTTCGCCAAGCATCATCGTGGTGGTAGTGGGACTTGAGACATTTGAAGTGGTGAGAGAGTGGTCTCCAGTCTCTGATATATAAACTGCTTTTCGAGGAGAGAGAAAGTTAGAAAGAGAAAGAGGGGGAATAGGGGTTTAAGCTCAACCGTGGTGGAGTTAAGAGGTTACTGTGATGCGGTTAAAAGATCTAGCGAGTACTGTTCCTCAACCGCGTGAGAGTCGCTCTAAAGGTGAAAGTGCCGTCTTTATCGTGGTGCTTAATCCGTATAATAATAATTTTTTTTTTTTTTTTTTACTGCTGATTTGATTTTTTTTATTTTTTTTGGCTGAGTTGATAATTTTTTTAATTGCTTGGTTCGAAATTTTGAAATGACTATAATGTTCATTAGGAGTAACTTAGCCGACAATTAAAGGGCAAACCATCGGCGAATCAGATAAGATTATTGATTTTTTCAACAAAAATAAAGAGATAAGATTATTATTTATTTTTTTGGAACTTAGATAAGGTTAGTAATTACGCAAGATTTATCCCAACAAAAAAAAAACGGATGTAAATACCCCCATTATAGATACACATAACACACATTAAATATTAATTTTTTCACTCATTCGAGTTAATAATTTAAATTAAAATGTAAATTTATGTGTGAGAAAATATTATAATAAAAAAATTAAATTTAAATTTTTATGAAAAAATTCATTATAATAAACATTTAAATTGTGATTTGATTTAACAAAATAAACAAGATTAAGACGTATCTATCTAAATATTTGTGTAAATTACTAGGTGCATGCATTAATTTAAAATTTTATTAAAGGAGGATGCAGTTTTGGTCAAATATTAAAGTAGATTAGATTTTGGGGTATCGAGTTCCGTCTACTTCGCATTAATCCGTATTTTTCATTTGTCAAAAAACCAAAAAAAAAAAATTCATTAGACTGATTTTTTTCGTTTCTGTGAACAAAGCACTATACTAATGTGTTTTTGTAAAAAAGGAAACTATAAAATATGTCTAGAAAAACACGAAAGCTTCTATTAAAAAAAAAAAAAAACCCCCCGCAAGTCTAATAACTCAATTCTAATTACTAATCACAATTAAATTACGTAAACACATGTTATAAGACCACCTGTTAGCTAATTAAACGGTAAGAAGTAGTACAAGCCGGAAAAGAAGACCCAAAAAAGAAAAAAAATGCAACCAAAATTTGGCCACTTCTACGTACAGTAGGGCTTAACAACCTCCCTCCAATCGGGAATTCCATCAATTACAGTTTCACGAAACTGTTGTATTTATCTGAGAAATTTTCTTTGCACTGAGATTAAAATTTGTCGTTTGCACGGGAGATGGGATATTGTCGTAAGATTGCCAATCCATTTCGGGTTAGTTGGGCTTTGCTGAATAGACCAAGTGGAAATTTTATCCACAAAAAAAAAAATTTAATAATAATAATAATAACTTGTCAGAAACTAGGGATGGTACGGTCCGCGACCATATCGCTTTTTTTTTTAATAAAAAGATTGAGAAAATCAAAAGTAAAAAAAAATAATAATAATAATAATAATGGACCAATAGTCCGTAAACTTTTGGGCAAATGACAATTTAATCCTTCTATTTTTAATTTTAGTAAAATGATGTCTAAATTTTTAAAATATTAATAATGACTCGTTTAGTTAATTGATTTGAATTTTTAATTTGAATTAAGATGTAATTTTATATGAAAATTTTTTATTATAATAAAAAAATTAAATATAATTATTTATAAAATTTTTTTATTACAATAAATTAGTTAAATAAATGAGACCTAAACCTTTCTATCATGATCTGTTATGTTTCTCACAGATTTGTACACGTGATTCATCACGTGATTTTTTTTTTTTAATAAAAAGACAGAGATGTCCTCATTAGTTTTGATGGACAAAATCTGTTCAAAAAAGAAAATGCAAATAAATTAAAGATGAACATTAAAGAATTAAAAGCTACCACGAAGCAATTTATACCTCTCCTTAAAGTTCTTCATATTTTTGCTACTCATCCTCACCTTACAGACAGACTAACCTAGAAAAAGAAAACTCTGCAGACCAAATACAATCTGGGCAGGGCTTTAGAAACACATGCATACCAACTGTAAAAAATTCCTTCCAACGACAAGCAAATAATTAATTTTCATCTAATTATTGTATCAACTACGCTAAAGAGCACCGCTATTTAATAGAATAAGAAAAGCTAATACCTCATGTGTTGAAATTCCAAATGGAAGATAATTAGATTCCTAAGTTAATATTTGAAATTGCTTTATTTTTTAAAAAATTGAGTAATAAAAGTCCCGTTTATTTCATTAATTTAAATTTAAATTTTAAATTTTATTATAATAAAAAATTTTAAAAAATAATCAAATTTAATTTTTTTATTACAATAAAAAATTCTGACATAAAATCACATCTCAATTTAAATTAAAAATTCAAATTAACAAATTAAACGGATCAAAAAATTCCGTTTATTTTATCAATTTAAATTTTATTATAATAAAAAAATTTTAAAAATAATTATATATAATTTTTTTATTACATTTTACTACAGTAACATTTTAATTTAAATTTACAAACTGACCCAAAATAAATTTAACATTACTTTTCTCCTTCCACTTGCTGGGTGAGAAATAAAATGGGTATTGCGCCCTCCCTACGCCGCTGCTCGAGCTGAGACTGTCACTGTCGCGCCTCCTCTGTGGGAGCATAGTCTCGTCTAGCTTTCATCTCGTTGAGAGCACACAAGCCCGACGTCTCTGCCGTCAAGATTCCGGCGAACCATTCCCTCCCATCGCTTCCAGCTCAGATCCTTATTGACCATCGTAAGCTCCCCTGTCGTGGACTGCCCAAATCCCCAATTGCAGAAAAAGAACCTCTCTGCGAGCCCTGTCGTGCACACTCCAGCTCAGCCTTTCAACATGCGTTTTGATCATCACGACCATATCTTCTTCTTCATTATACGCTTTTGCAGACTTGTTTAGTTTAGTTTAGTATTTTTTTCCTTTTTTTTTCTTTTTTGGAATCCGTTGAGTTTAATTTAAAATTCGTTTAGTTCACTCATTTAAATTGAGATAAAATTTTTTACTATAATAAAAAATTAAATATAATTATTTTTTAATACCGTAAAAAAATTTAAATTAATAAAATAAATAAGACTTTAATTTTATTGTTATGTTTTATTTTTTTTAATTTAAATTTTTCATCAAAAATAAATTGTCATTTTACAAAAATACCCCTCACTATCATACCACATGCATTGTACTGGTATGCATTGTACATGACCTATTCTGTTAAATCATTAACGAATTTAAACGGAAAGGTTCAAATTGTTAATGTTTTAAGAATTTGAGGATCCTTTTATTAAAATTGAAAAAATAAACATCAAATTGTCACCTGTTCAAAGTTTAGCGAGTTGATGCCCATTACAGAAAATTGGCGTACAAAATGACTGTGGCGGTACGAACAGACAGACAGGGAATCAATGCACGCGACAATGAACAGGAGAAAATCTGTACGGAGGCACACTTGTAAGGCAGTCACGTGATGCGGAGGACACACGTGCTCGGTGGAAAATAAGTTTGGTTTGACCCAATTTCCCTGTACGCAGAGATGCCTACACGCGGCAATGGATGTGGCTCCGCTTTTACAAATTCGAGATCCTCGTGATCTCCGTTGATTCTTCGCCCGCAGGTGACTCTTCTCCTTTCGAATAAACGAGGGAACATGTCAGTTACATCATACGTGCACGAGGTACTGACTAAAAACTCATTTATTTTATTATTTTAAATTTTAAATTTTAAATTTTTTTAATAAAATTTTTTAAAAAAATATCACATTAATTTTTTTTATTATAATAAAAAATTTTAAAAAATATTACATTATAATTTAAATTAAAAATTTAAACTTATAAAATGAAGGAGGTTTAAATAAATATAATTAAACTACTAATTTGACGCCAGCTTTATTTATAAGAGGATGGGCTGATTTGATATTAATTCTAGAGCTACTGCTCTGATCCTCTGACTTTAAATAATAATATTACGTGATATTTTTAGGTTTGTATTTAAATTTTTAATATAAATTGAGATGTAATTTTATATAATAATTTTTTTTTAATAAAAAAATTAAATGTGATTATTATTGTGAGTTTTTTACTTAATAAAATTTAAATTTTAAAGTTAAATATGTAAAATAAATGAGATTATGATTGAGATATTGTTCAATCTCATTAACCTTTTTTAATGCAACATATATCAACGTATTATGTATCTCTATAGCAGCTTAAATACAAAAAAAAAAAAAAAAAAAAGAAAGACATTCATACTTGAACACCATTACTCACCATTCGTGAAGGGAAAAATAATTTTCGTGTGTGGTGTTTTTTTAATGCTAGAATTTAATGTTATCTTTACAGTTTTAAATACATATTTTGATATTCTGAGATCATTTTTCACACACTAAACTTCTTTTTTTTCACTAATAGTTAATTATCAATTAAAATATTTTCACATTTAAAAAATATAATTATCTTCCTTTCAAATATGTATCTAATTATTTTAGCCGAGTGCATTCGTCCAACAACGCGTTCAATTGGGCGGCTCGGCCTATGCCAGCCCGCCTTTCCTAGCCCTCGACACATATGCACACCAACTTCATCCTTTTCTTGTGTTCCGAAACTGCTTCCTTCTGTCGTTGTGTTGACTTGGATGAAGTTTGAATCGAACACTTCTTTCGTCAGCGCCGCGGTAATGCTTTTCTAGCACCGGTTAGTGATATGCGGTGGTTTAAATTTTATAGATCTTCAACGTTTTTATTTCTAATTTTTTGTATTTTTAACTATTTTTGAAATGTTTTCTAGACTAACAGTTTGTTACTTAATTTGAAGGGTATAAAAGATTTGTGTTAAAACATAATATAGGGTACCGTGAAAATATCTCAGAAAGCATAAAAGTCTCTGAATATATTTATAGTAGAGAAGGTTATTTTGCTCTACTATCATAGTGTTATTTGATTAGTTTAAAACGATTTAATTTGGAGTAAGGGTAATTTTGAGTGACGGGTGTAGAATTTTTAACACGAATATTCACATATAAATTAATCTAACAGATTAAAAATAACAATCTATTGATAGAGTGAAAATGCATGTTATATCATAAATATTCTTAAATACTAAAAAAAAACACAAGATATCTTTCTAATAATTACGAAAAGAACAAAAAAATACCAGAATCTTTTTTTTTTCTTTTGTTTCATCCATGAAAAGCAGATTCCGGATAAGGCCTTAATTTATATATCCACTACTAATTTTCAAATCGGTCAAATTTATGGTCATCCTTTTTTATTTCGTGCAACATTACGTAGTTTGGTTTTGGATTTCTAATCTAGTTCTATACATTTCAACCTTTAATAGATTATTTTTCCTTACTTTTTTTTTTTATTCAGACCAGATTATTTACTTTCAAGACCATAGTTTAAACACTCAAGTTGCAATTTTTTTTAATGGACTCAAGTTGTGCTTTTTATATAATCTAAAAGCATTACAAAGAGCTATTATCTTCAATTTTTTTACACAAAGATCGTGACTTAACGATACACAAATAATGTTTGTGACGGGAAAAAAAAAAAAAAAAACATACACACACACAATTTCACTCCTCATTATGGGTATGCCAAACTGATTAATGTATCTTAAAATTAAGATACTTATTTAGAGTTTTCTTATACCTTAATGAAAGAAAATGCTAAACAATACCTATAGCATTGTTTTCTTAGGAGATCATACTCACCAAATCACATGCCTCATAATAAGGATTATCATTCCCTATTTGGCATTTGCCTTAAAATATCACGGATAAGGTTGGCAAACGTGTAACTTGATATGGTGAAAGTGCTAATAATAATTGTTACCAGTTTATTACTAAACATTTGTGATTTCATGGATGGAGGTGATTAGCGGCAAAATCTCATTGGGACGTGTTTCATGGTCTCGTGGTAAGCGTATGTCCCCCAAGTGCAGGACATCAAAATGTATTTACTTGAAAAACTAATCAAATTGCCCATGAGTATTTTATAAATAATTATTATTATTTATTTTTCAATTTCCTCTATTTCGTCGTCGACCAAATTTCACACGAAAGTCACGTGGGTTGGGTTTGCTGAAACCTGGAGTTGATTACCTATATATCTATTTTTTTAATTTAATGGATGAAAAAAAATATGTTTATAAGTTGTGATATTTACACGTAAGTTTTTAATCCATAATGACATTTCTATCTTTTGTTAACTATTTTTAAAATTAGTTATATAAATTTATAACCACCCATATAAATAAAGATATATCAAGAAATTTAGGGGTGACAATTCGCCTTACGTCTCGTGTTCGTATCGCGTTTTAGTCATTTCTTTTTAAATTTATAGTCAATCCGAACACGATCCATCACACATATTTTTTTTTAAAAACTGCAACACAAACACGACACGATCACTTTACAGGTTGACATGACATGATACGAAAATGATCCGTGAACCCGAAATTGACATGAAAATTATATACTTTTATTTAATTTTTTTTCCATATTAGAAATAACTTAAAATTTAAAACACACTAAAATACAATAACATCCATTAAAATTAAAAAAATAATAGTATAAGATTTTTAGTATAACTATCACAGTATCAAAAGTTTATAATAAAATCTAAAATATGTAATGAAAAATATGTATGTTTTTTAGTATTTTATGAGTTTCTAATCGTGTTTGGGTTAGACAGACCCAATCCGAAATTGACCAAAATGAGAATCATAGTTCAAGCACAGGAACCAAACGGTACTTTAAAAGGTTTCAACTATCAAACTTAGAGAAAACGACATCGAGTTTTTAAATACGTACAACAACAAACATTTAACACTAAACGACATATCCTTTCCTCAATTTTTTACTTTATATGCTAAAAACGACAACGAAGATGATTGCCATGGCACAAAAACGATTGTAAGATATTAATATGTTGGGACACGGTAGATTTAGAGGGTACGCGGTGTACAAGGTATACACATGTAAGTATCAAATTCAGTAGTGTTGATGCTGACGTGAATCAAACACGGCGTTCATAGAGAGATCGTACGACAAAGCCTCCAACAAAGAAGAGTGAATCGGCTAGGCTTAAAGTAAGTCGAAGAAAATGGATTCCAGGGCTCACTTTGTCACCATCTTACTAAGATGCCAACTTACGCACGTAGGAGGGCTTCTCATACAGTTATGGAGATCGCATGGACGAAGTATTGAGGAGGAGTAACCGAATGGTTGATGGAGATTTGACTCAAAGATTGTGGATAAGGCTTATTTGAAAAAATATTGTGAGGAGAAATACGGGTTGCCTTCGAAGCGGATGTCTGACTCGTAAGGTATGAATAAGGCTATTTAGAAGAGTTGGTGAATTCTTACTCCAGAGAAACACAAGTCGCTTTATGAGCAAGTTTTACGGACTTTCAATAGAGGAGGCAAAATCTACTTTAGAGGAACACAAGTTGTTTGAGAGTAGACGTTAGCAGACGAACTTTTACGACTTTCCGGAAGTGTTCTCTGAAGCGGCGGAGTCTAGCCACGGAGGTAGATTTTCAGACTTCTAGAGAAATCTCAAAAAACTTCAAATACAACTTGTAGATGAGTTTAGATGGATCAAATAAAACATTTTGAGACTTCTTAAGGATGAACATTCAAGATCTGAGCAGAGTCTCACTAAGTATTTTAAAGATTTTCAAGCTCGAAGAACACATAGCCTAGTAACGGGTTTTGGCTTTAAAGAATGTACTGTCTTGTCCATTTCTTTAATGTCTAAGAAAAGGCATCAGAGGCTTCTGCAGGAAAGGGAATCTAGTTCTTGACTTCATGTTGTGGATGTGTTTCGCCTAGTACAGTTGTCTTGTCGTATACTCTCGAATGTTCAATGTTTCATCGAGACTCTGCTCATTAAGGGAGTGAACTCTGCTTTGACATAACTACACGTTCAAAAATCTCACATGGGATTATAACAATTCGTTGTCAAGTTAAATTTCTACGTAGTTGAATGTCGTTGCTTGGAGTTGGTCAAAGTCGTTTTGTTCCTTTTGTTTTGTTTTGTTTTGGTTTTTTAAGTAGTTGCTCAAAATTGTCCTCCTCTTCTTCTTCTTCTTCTTCATCTTTTCTGTTGGTTAATTACATAACAAAATGCCTTAAAACACTGGTAAATTCTGCCAGTGATCAATCGACTCTTTGGTTTCCTATGCAAGTAGTTAGTACATGGGTCTTTATATGGCTGAAAACCCCAAGCTCACCTAATTTTTGCTAAATTCCAAAGACTAATATTATCTATCTTGCAATCAAAGGCTCAAGAAAGGAATCGTAAAGGATAGTCTTGAAAACTTAATTAATTAATAATAAACCTTAGAGGCGCATAGAATAGCCCCAACATCTAAAGCTTCTATTCCAATACAAGCATACCAACCTGCAAGACAAAGCAAAAGAGATCGTACAAGGCTTGGGCCTCTGGATTTTGCCTTCCCCACATGGAAAATAATAATAATAATGAAAAAAAATTGAAAAAAAGCGAAAACGAAAAGAAGAAAGCAAAACGAAGACTGTTGAGTCGTTAATTAGTTGTATAAAAGTGATTGATTAGGTTGTTTGGGTTTAACCCAGACAACGGGGACAAAAAAAAAAGAGAGAAAAGAAAAGGGGGCTTTTTTAGAAGGACCCAAAAGCGGTTTTCGTAGACTTCACTCTCAAACTTGAGTTCGGCGCCCGTATAAAATGAGGAAGTTCTCGGCCTGTTGTTTCACAGCCCAATTCTCCAAGATCCGACATTCAAAGCCAAAACATTCCCTGGTTCGCTCTTTACATCGTATTGTCGTTAGTCAAAGAGTGTTTTTTTTATTTTTTTATTTTATGTTAATATATATTTGCCATTTCGTTTTTTTTCCTTTCTTTCTAATTAGAAGATCGTTTTGTCTGGTTTTGTGTTGGACCTTGGCCTAGACATCCGGAGAAAGTGAAGAAACCATGGAGAAGCTACCGAAACACGATGGTGCTGACAAATCACAGGTATGAGGTTTTAAAAAGTTTCTCTCTTAATTTTATTAATTTAAACTTTTTATTTGACAGAAAAATTTAAATTGCGTGGTTTAAATTATAATTTAGATGTATAGTTAAAATTTTAATTTAAATATAGAATAAATTTGAATTTGTGTTTAATACGTGTGAAAAACAGAGAAAGTTAAGGGCATGTTTTTTTGTCTAAAAAACTCAAAAAAAGATAACTGGAGTTCTAACTTTATTTAAGTTTACGTTATTTTAAGTTTCAACTTTATTCAACTTTACTCAACTTTATTCAAGTTACAACTTCAACTCAAGTTATAACTCAAATTTAACTCAAAAATTACATTCAAGTTACACTTCAAAAGAACAACCCTGACAATTTTTGCCCTCTTGCCTGCAACTGTTTTGAGTGAAAAGAATTAGGAAGTAGGAACTATGATAAAAAAGAAAAAGAAAAAAGGAGCACTCATGTGTTAAAGCTCATTAAAAAAACCATGCAACTTGACTCGTTATTCCAAATGGTATTAAAGAATTAAGGTCTTTTAGGATCGTCACTCTCTAGGGACTAGGATTCTTATGATTTGTGCTGTGCCCGACAGAATGTTGAGCAAAACATGATCAGTTCCTTTAGCAGCCGTGCTACAAATATCATAGAGAACCATGACTTCTCTCAAGGGCTGCATTCTTGGCACGCCAACTGCTGCAGTGCCTTTGTCGTTCCTTGTGATGCAAGTCATTATAAAGAAGCAGCATCGAAACAAGCCGGAGGCTATGCTGTTGTCACAAATCGTAAGGAATGCTGGCAAGGATTGGAGCAAGATATCACTCACAGAGTTTCCCCCGGTTCCATGTATTCGGTTTCTTCTTGCGTTGGAGTCTCGGGGCCGCTTCAGGGATCTGCTGATATCCTGGCCACTCTAAAACTGGAATACCGAGATTCGGCAACTAGCTATCTTTTTGTTGGAAGGTAATGGATCGATGTCGTAATATTCTGTCGCTTTGTGTGTTTTTGTTTTCCCCTTTTTTAAAGAATGATTTTGTTTGAATGACTGTTTACAACATGCAGAACTTCTACATCAAAAGAGACTTGGGAAAACTTGGAAGGAACATTCTCATTGTCAACAATGCCTCAACGGGCAATATTTTATTTGGAAGGGCCTTCATCAGGAGTTGACCTACTCATAAAATCAGTTGTGATAACATGTACTAGTCCGAAAGGAGCCGAGGTAATTCTCAGCTGCTCTTTTGTTCACATTTTCTCTATAAATTTTGTGTCAGTTCGATTTTGCTTATTGTTTTGGATTTATATGTTTGAAAGGGTGAGAGTGCAGCATGTATTACTGCTGGAGACGACAATATCATCCAGAATCCTAGATTTGAGGATGGCTTGAACAATTGGTCTGGGAGAGGCTGCAAGATTGCCCTACACCAC